ATGTAAGGCCCTGGTGAGTCATTTCTCTTCTCAAAGCCTCAGTTGCCTCAGCTCTAAAATAGTCCAGAAGCATTTATTAAGCACCTACTCTGCACCAGGCACTGTGCTAAGCACTGGGGATACAAACATAAACAAAAAGAAAGACAGTTCCTGCCATCGGGGAGGCCAGTAGTAGCACCTACCTCACAGGTGGGTGGGTGGAGATTCATTGATTATTAAGGTCATGTGTAAAAAAAAGGTCACGTATTTTCATATCAAATCTAAGGCCAATCCCTCTGCCTCTAAGATTGCTACCCAGCTTCGTAGACAAGTCTGAAGGGATTGCTTGAGTCTCTGAGATGGGAAGTGACTTGAAAGGGACACATGGTCAGAGGTGGGATCTGAAACCACATCTCCCTAAGGCTAGCCTTGCATGCTGCCTATATATATACATATATGTGCATAACATATCATTCATATATATACACATATCATTCATACCTAGACGGATGCTATACTGTATGTGTGTATGCACATGTGTGTACATATATCATTCATTCATGCATGTGGTGTTCTTACATATATGAATTGTGTTACATGTGTTACTTCTATGCATACCCCTTATCATGTGTGTGCGCACATGTGCAATTCATATAAAGTTTATGTGTGTATCATTCATGCATGTATTGATAATATACTGCTAGGTATATGTATGTATACATCTATCATTCATATATATATATATATGTCATTCCTACATGTGTGAATTATATACATGTACCTGTATTATACACAAATATGTGCCTATGTCATTCATATAAATTATTTACATATATCATTGAGAGAGAGATGGCCCATATATATTATGTGCATGTATGTATACAACTATCATTCATGCATTTATGGATGGTGTGTATACATATGTGTCCATGCATCACATGCATATATCATTCATACACATATTAATTATTTTCCTACACCTATATTTGTGCATTGTATACATATATTACCTGTGTAAATTATATACATGTGTCATTCACACATATATGGGTGATATACTGCACCTGTGTGTACATATATGTATACGGGTGTGTGTGTATCTCTTAGATCCTGGATTTAGAGCTACCAGGAACTTTAGAGATGATCTAGCTCACGGGCTGCATTGAGAGATGCCAGGTGACTTGCCCTGGGTCACACTCAACTTGCCATTGTCTCAGGAAGGCTCTGAACAGACTTTCAGACAACCCCAAGAGAGGGTGCTGCCTCTGGTTCCACTGGGGCGCAGAGCAGCGGGACTCAGCCCCCGCAGGGGTCTCAGATGCCAAGGGGCATCTCACAGCGGGAAGCTCCTTTTCCCAGCTCAGACAAGTATCTCTTCCATGATGTCACCTGACAGTGCATGTTTATGTAGCCTTTTATAGTCTGTAAAGCACTTTACATATCCCCCCATTTGACAGCAGCCCTTCGAGGCGCTCTTATTGTCCCACACAGATGAGGAAACGAAGGCTGGACTTGAACTCAGGTCTTCCTGACTTCCAGTCTGGCCCTCCATCCATCACCCTCATGTGTTTTGCAAGGCTAATTACTCCAGGAGCCAGCTTTCTGTGCTGAACTTGCTCCAAATCCCTGAGCACCCACTTGTACTTCTGGATGATGAAACGCCTCCCGGGTTCCCTGTCCAGCACCTCTCCTTCCTACTTTCAGCTCATGAATATTTAGAAGCTGGTTGAAGTTCTAACATTTTCCATCTCCCAGACCACCAACTCCCAAGGGTTCCCTTTCAGAATTTCCTTCATTTTTAATTTAAAAACATGTGTCAACAGCACGCGTGATATCTGGTCTTGGCAGTCTTCATTTTCATCGTCTGCTTTTTCTGTGCTTTGGAAGGAAGCTAAATGTGAGCCTCTGCTCCTCACTGGGGTTTGTTGTTATGGGAGTTTTTTTAGGGTTTTATTCTGCCTAAAATTGTAAAAACTTTCTCCTCTTTCAAAAGTATTTTCTATCAAAAACAGACAGGATAGGGTAGAAGTGGGGAACTATTTCCCCAGCAGTGTGACCACCGATAGTCATGAAGTCTCCTTCCACCCCAACACACACACTCATTCCCCCCCCTCAGGTTGCATGTCTGCCAATCCCAAGAGTCCCCTGGCTATTCGGAATTTCAAAGAACAGAACAATTTAACCTAATGGGATTGCACCCACCACGCTGCTATGGGTTCTCAGGTCAGAAACAACTTGATTTTAAGATGTTTTTCCCCATTCTTACGATCAAAGGACTGTAATGGAAAGAGCACTAAATTTGGAAGCCCCCATCCAACCCTGGCTTTGACACATCTCCCCCTGGAATATAAGGTCATTAAGGGCAAGGAGTCTTCTGGCTATTTCTTTGTATCACTAGTGCTTAGCACAGTGCCTGGCACATAAGTCAACGCTGAATAAATGTTTCTTGATTGATTGACACTTATGAGCTGTGTGACCTTGGGCAAGTCCCTTACCTCTCTGAGCCTCAGTTTCCCCATCTGTAAAATGGGAATAATAATACCCACTTTATCAACCTCCTAGGGAAAAGCACTTTGTTAGATATGAAAAGCACTGGAGAAATAAGAATCACTAGCAAAGAAAACAGAAAAGTGAAATTCCTTCTGAGAAAGAGCAGAAGCATGTCCTATGGTCTCTAGCTGCTTTTGGAGGAATGAAGGAAAGGTACAAGAAATGCACTTCGAATGTACTATTTCCATAAATTCAGACTGCATTAGGAAAGCCAGTAGATTAGTGGCTTTATGTTTGAATTGCTACACTCTCTTCCCCACCAAAAAAAAAATGCCTCATCATTGTTTGTGTAAATTTGGGGGGCAGAAACCTGCTTTTTTTGTCTTTAGAAAAAACACACAAAAATCTTTCCAGCGGGAACAGTCAGATAATACAAATGGGCAGGCATTGCCAGAATGTGTTATATAATATGCTAAAAATTCTCCCTTGAGGCCCTAACCACTAGTCTTGCCACACCCTCTGAAGGTTAGTTCAGCTACTGTTGACAGAGGCAGCTTGCCAGTGGAGGGGTGGGAATAGAAAAAGAAAATCATCTTTGTTTTTGTTTTCCTCAAATATGGCTTGGGGAGGGGTGGGAAATAGCTACAGGAAAAATTATATGCATAAATAACTCATTGAACTGGTTTTGCTTTCTTGACTTGGGCAATGAGGAAAGAGGCAGTTAGTGGGGGGCAGTAGTATCTCTCTGTTAGGACATGAAGCTTTTAGCCTGGGTGGCAAGGGTGCCTGCCTTGTCTTGGCTTCAGGTGGAGGTCTACCCTTTCTTTAAAGCCCAACCCAATGTCACCTCCTCCTTGAAGCCTGCCCTGATCCCTGCCTGTGTCAGTCCCAATTTTTCCCTTGACAATCCAATCCAAGACCTCTGCTCCTAGGATCATTTTTAGCTGAAATAGGAAGAAAAGGAAAGTTTCATGAAAAAAGTTAGTTTTGAGCAAAACCCAGAAGAAAGCATGGGATTTAGACTGATGGAAAGGGGGGCATTTTAGAAAGGAGGAATAGTACATAGAGGAGAGCCTGACCATGGCGTATGTGGAAGGAGGGTAAGGTGATTAATCTGAATGGAGGCCAGAATTTGTGTTGGGGAATAGTGAGAAAGAAGGTTGGATAAGTAAGATGGGACCACCTGACAGCAGGCCTCGAATGCAGCACTGAACCCTGTAGATTTAATTTGATCAACAATAGGGGGCCATTGTTCATTCAGTAGGAAAAAAAAACCATGGCAAAATTAAATGTTTGATCAATTGTCCCCTGAAGACAGGACTGGCAAAATTAAATGTTTGGTCAATTGTCCCCTGAAGATTAGCCCTCAGTATTCCATTATCTAGGGCAGCTAAGTGGCTCAGTGGTTAAAGCACCAGGCCTGGAGTCAGGAAGACTCATCTGCCTTAGTTCAAATCTGTCCTTAGATATTTACTACCTGTATGACCCTGGGCAAGTCATTTAACTCTGTTTGCCTCAGTTTCCTCATCTGTGAAATGAGCTGGAGAAGGAAATGGCAAGCCACTCCAGTATCTCTGCCAAGAAAACCCCAAATGGGGTCACAGAGAGTCGAACACAACTGAGAAAATGACTCAAGAACAAAAAATGTAATTATCTACATAGTGGACCCAGAGATTTTCCCCCTCAGTCCAAGCTTCTTAGGACAACCAGAGTAGAGCTCTGAGGCCCAGGTGTGGGCTAGAATTTGCAGTTCCCCAGAGTGGCAGGGCTAACCAGCTGCTAGGCCTAGCCCCAAAGAGCTAAGGCAGAAGCACATCTGTCTCTCCAGCTGGTGGGGCAGAACATCATTTATCATACTCCTTGCTTCAGGCCATAGTTCAATGTTCTTGAAGAACCATCACATCTCAAAACACCCGGAAAACACCTGAGTCACCCTAGATAAATATGCACCTTTTCAAGTGTTCCAGTCCAAAATCCATGTCATTGTTGACCCCTTTCTTTTCACCTATGTTACCATGAACATTGCTTTTTGAGAGCAATTAATTGGGGTACCCTTTATCCCTAGCCATAATGAGTAGAATGTTCCATCCTAATAACATCCTTTCTCTTTCCTCCCAGCCGAGAGAGTATCCTGACATAGCACCTTATGCACAATAAGAGCTTAAGAAATGTTTGTTAAAAATTGAATTGAGTTATACTGGGTTCAGGGAAAATCCAATCTTTCCTACATTCAAAGACTTTTGCATATATTTTCTTTCCACTCTCTTTCTTTCACTGTTCCCTCATCACAGAAATTAAAAACACACACAAATCTGCCCTGGGCCTCCATGTTTTTCTATTCGAACTCTTAGGGTCCTGTTCCCACAATGACTTTGATTTGTATCTTTGACCAAGACAGAGTAAAGAGGTCATTTCATTTTTTTCATGAAAGATATGTATTTTATACCAGGTGAAAATAATCCAGATTTCCTCCTTCTCAGTGAGAGCACTGCCCCTTCTCTATTTAAATGTCTCTGATTTAATATCCTCAGCCTGAAGATATTGGACAAGCTCCGATAGTCAACGCCCCAGAAGGTGGAAAAGTGGACTTGGAAGCCTTCAGCCAGTTTACAAAAATCATCACACCAGCAATTACGAGAGTGGTGGATTTTGCCAAAAAGTTGCCTATGTTTTGTGAGGTAAGGAAATAAATGTGTTTGGAGTTCGTTTTTGCTGGGTTTCTATTTTCCTGTGTTCCTATTCTACAGAACAGATCTATAGACTTCCCCACTAATGGCTATTGTTTACAATCTCATATTACTGAAGAAGAATTTAATCAGTTGAAAGCACCAGTGGAGACAAAATGGAAATATACTCATTAAAATTTGTCATTCCCCACCTTGGTACAGGTGGATGTGATGACCCTCCATTTGTACATCCTAGGAGAAATGGAAGAGCCCAGATGCCTCTAAAATCAAAACTAAAATGGTGCCAGAGGCATAATCTGGTCCATCCCTTTCTCCCAGACAAATTTAAACCATCCCCTAAAGACAGCCTTCTACCCTAAAAAAAATAATAGTAATAATCTGTGTAGAAGGGGGCCGGACAGTTTTCATCCAGCATCCCAGCAATCCTTTCCAAGGTCTAATCTAAATCCTTCCCACTGGCTTTTAAATCCTGTGTGAGACTGGGTTTTCGGCTTTTGGTTTTGTTTGTTTGTTTGTTTGTTTTCCTCTTGGGTGATTGGTTCCTGGCAGGTACTAATTAGTTAGCCCCTCACTTCTGGAAGTAAATTAAATGGAGAGGAGCCCTGGGGTAAGTTTGCCTCTAAAGGAGGGGAGGGGATGGGAGGGAGTGCACAGAATAAAGCTCAGTTTCCTCCCATGGAATAGCCCTCCTCTGTCCAGTCATTTATACCTTGGAACCAAGAGCCAAAGAAGGCCTGAGCTCAGAGACGTCTTGGGATCGCTTTCCACCCCCTGGGTGACCCACTCCCAGGCCACCTGTAGGGTCCCCTCTCCTGATGAGGAGATCTTAAGAACACAGGATTCAGAGTGGAAGGAGCCTGAATAGTCAACCTCTTCTTTATAAGGATAAGAAAATTAGGCACCAAGAGATAACATGACTTGTCCAAGGTCAACCACAACTGAAAACTGGCTGACCGGAGATTCAACCTCAGGTCCTGTGATGCTAAATTCAGTGCTCTTTCCACTATACTAAGGTCTTGAGAAAGGTCCTGGCAATGAGTATGCAGCCTTAGGGCCAAACTCAAGCATAGCTTATGCCTGCCTCACAATAATGACCAACGTTTATATCACACTTTAAGATTTGCAAAGCACTTTATAACATACATATAATCATATTTGATCCTTATGAAGCCCCTATGAGAGAGAGAGAGATGCTATTTTACATTTTACAGGTAAGGAGACTGAGGCTGAGGCAGATGAAGTGACTTGCCCAGGGTCACACAGCTAATAAGTATCTGAGGTAGGATTAGAACTCAAGTCTTCCTCATTCCATGTCCAGGGTTGCACCCATTTTACCACCTAGCTACCTCATGACCCAACACTTCTGGGTTGCCTCTAGCCCTGGTGACAAAAATCTAAATGCAGCCGTTTTTTCTGGGTGCAGAAGACACTCTCGACTATTGTCATTTTCAACTCCCCTGGTATTCTCTTTGCTTTTATTATCAAAGCAATTTCCCGTTCCACCCAGTCTCTAGCCCATAAAGAGGAAATCTATTTCGTTCTCAGCTATTGGTTCAATTCCCACATTGGCCATACCCAAAAATGTATGTCTCATTTTGCATATTGAGCTCATCACTTCTGTAGCAAAGAGCCAGCAGCAAAGGGGTCACCCATCAGTTAAGGAATGGCTGAACAAATGTGTTATATGCGATAGAACACTACCGGACCAGGAGAAAGTGACAGAAAGGACCCCTTCATAGATATCTGAGAAGACTTGTCTGAACTAACAGAGTAAAGAACCAGAAACAATTTGTTATATAACAACAACATTGGCAAAAGAAAAAACTTTCCATTTGTTCAATTTCATTTTAAAGAAAGGTATGAATCACAGAGTGGGAGGGAGACATAGGCCTTTCAGATGGGAGCCCCCTACGTTTTACTGACCTCCCCAGTTTTAGCCTTTTGCTTCCTCTCTTCAGAAGTTAGCAAAGGAAAGAGACCAAGAACGGGCCTCTGACATGACCTAAGAAGGCAGCTCACTGGATAGAGCACCTCGAGCCTGGAGTCAGGAAGGCTTATCCTCCTGAATTTAAACCTGGCCTCAGATACTTACTAGCTGTGTGACTCTGGGCAAGCCATTTCACCCTGTTGGCTTCATCTGTAAAACGAGCTAGAGAAGGAAATGGCAAACCACTCCAGCATCTTTGCCAAGAAAACACCAAATGGGATCACAAAGAGTCAGACATGACTGAAAAGATTAAGCAACAAAGTGGTTCAGTTGACCTTGGCCTAAGTATGACCCCAGAGGCTGGAGTGGACCACTGTCAACTTCCTTTCTCTACTGATGCAGACAAACAATGCCCCACTGGAAAAAGACCAGCTCACCCTTTGTCTGATGGGGTGCTCAATGCATTACTGACTGGGCTATCAAAAATCACCCACAGAAACTGGCCAGGTATATATCCTTTCTGAAGCAGCTTTGACAGGCCCCTCTGATAGGTGTCTTCTGGTTTCTGGCATGTAATCTTTGCCAATAAACATGACTAATGTGTTCTTGAGGAGGCAGGAGGATTCTGGGAGAGTAGCCCTGAGTCCATCCCTCCCGTACCTTTCTTGGAGCCTTCCTGCGAAGAAAACATTTTTGTCAAATGATTGATAGTAATTCCTTGCCCGAGTGCTAGGAGACACTCCCACGAGGGGCCTAAAACCCACTTTTAAAGGAAAAGGTATCTGGCAAGATAGTTTTTATACCTCCTAAAGTGTGGGGCTTCAGAAGTGTTCATTAGGAGTGCAATTTCTGATTATAAATAAGCATTCCATGAGCATAACTTTCCAAACTTCATTAAAATGAGGGTTTCTGTTTCAGGCTTCCCTTGCCAAGATAGTCCCAACTCTAGTCTGTGCACTCTATGGCTGGGAGACATCGTTCTGCACAATGAGCCCTGAACTTACGGTCCCAGGCTCTGGGTTCACATCCCATCTTTGCCACTTCCTACCTTATGACCTTGGGCAATCATTGACTCTCCCTGGGCTTCAGTTCCTACTCTGTAAAATAAGGGGGCTGGACGGCATGAGTCCATTGACATCATTGAGCTACTGCTTGGTTTGTTGACATCTCCTTTACTGATCCTGGCTGATTCTTCCCAGCTGCCATGTGAAGATCAGATAATCCTGCTGAAAGGCTGCTGTATGGAGATCATGTCCCTCAGAGCAGCTGTGCGCTATGACCCAGAGAGTGAGACTTTAACCTTAAATGGGGAGATGGCCGTGACCAGGGGCCAGCTGAAAAACGGAGGCCTTGGGGTGGTGTCTGATGCCATCTTTGACCTGGGCATGTCACTGTCTTCTTTCAACCTGGATGACACTGAAGTAGCCCTCCTTCAAGCAGTCCTGCTCATGTCTTCAGGTGAGGATACTGAGCGAGGTTCCCCATCGCCAACCGGAAATAGAGATACTGCTCTTGAATTTTCATGTTCTCTTGGGCTATGGTTTCATAGCTCATTCCCTCTCCTCTGGGTAGGATTGTCCAATAGATACTAGCCAAGTGGACTCTAGGCCCAAGCTACCTTTGGTCATATTTGTGCAACGGTCCTCTGTCACCCATAGAGAGGCAATGTCGTGGCATCCTGGAATGCATGTTTCACTGAGATTGTCCAACCCTGCTTCTTTCTGTTTTGCTAATATATAGGACATGTGCAGGACTGACTTGGACATTCCATTCTGTTCTCTGTTTTGGATTTGAGGTCTTAAAAGAAGCAGTGGTCAAGGAGTCAGGCACCCCAGATTCTATTCCTGTCTTAACCCTTGTTGTGACTCTTAATTTGAAATGCTTAGTCTAAAGTCACATGGAGCAGTGGGAAAAGTGCTGGATTTTGGAGCAGGGAACCTAGGTTCAATCCTGGTTCTCCCCCTTACTCTTTATGTGACCTTGGATTAGGACTTTCACCTTCCCAGGCCATCGTTTCCCCATTTTACAAATGAGAGGATTAGTCTAGATCAGAAATGCCAAATGTGAGGCCTTGCTGGCTTCCCAAGTACAGCCCAAATCAGATTAAAATGGAATTGGAGAAATGTTTAACAAAATAAATAAAAATATAATACAACATTGATAATATTCATTTGTGGTTTTCTAAGTCCCTGTAGAGTTGATGGTCTAGATGACCCTTATCAACTGCAAATCTATCCTTCCACTTAGCAGACGGCAATCCTGTAATAACATCAAGTATGACAAAGTATGTGACTTTGGACAAGTACTTTCCTTAATGATTTTGCTGTGGTGGTTTCCAAGCTCTCTTCTAGTTCTAGCATTTTGTGATTGTATAGAATAAAATCAGCTGAGCTGATCCTCCTTAGTTAACTCTGTATTAGAATTCTCCATGGAAACACTAAAGGAGTCACCAGTGGCAACACTGGGAGCCCAGTGACCAGCGTTCTGCTCATCTTAGAGTAGGTAAAAAGGAATCTCAGGAGGAGAAGGTTCTAGATCCTGGTAGGGGATCCAAGAAAGCATCCTGAAGAAGGTAGTGGGGTTTTTTCAGAATTTTTTGGGGGGGAGCGAAACAGTTTGGGTTCAGTGACTTGCCCAGAGTCACACCGCTACTAAGTGTTATGTGTCTGAGGCCAGATTTGAACTCAGGTCTTCCTGACTCTAGGGCTGGTACTCTATCCACTGTACCACCTAGCTGCCCCTAGAAGGTAGTGTTTGATCCAAATTTTGAAGGAAGTCGCGATTCTGAGAGGCAGAGAATGAGACCTTAATTAGTCACCCAGTCAAAAATTAAAAAAAAAAAACAAAAACAAACCCACAAAAGTTTTCCAGAGCAAATATTCCCTGTTCATACCCCATGGAGGTCTGGGCTTTGTTCTGAATCAGAGAGGGGTATGGACCATCTGGCTCTGGTTCTGTAGTCTATAGAAGGGGTTTGTGACCTTGTGACCTCTTTAGTAAGGCAAGAAGGTGGCTCCGTGCACAAAGTAATGGACTTAGGGTTAGGAGGATCTAAGTTCAAATCCTGGCTCATTGATGGTTGTGTGATCATCAATGGCTAGACATTATCACTCTCTGCCTCATTTTCCTCATTCATAAAATAGGAATAATAATAGCACTGACCTTATAGGGCTGTTATGAGGATCAAATGAGCTAATAAAGCATTTCACATACCTGGAAGTGCTATATAGATGTTAGCTCGGACTATTTAGGGTTTCTATTGATTGAGTCAGATGCTGCTTTGAGGTCTAAATATTGTAATATCTAGGCTGTCATTGTGGGACAAAGACCAGAGAGGGAAAATCTGGGGCAGGAGAGAACTGTTCCTAGCAGGCAGCAGGCATATCCATTATCAACAAGCATCCTGAAACTTTTATTCCACCCATCTTTAAGAAACAGTCATTTTATTCATTTCCACAATAGTCTATGAACATGACATCTAAAACAATAGAGCAGGATAGCAATGTGTCTCAGAATCATTCTATCCGAGCTCCTTTTAGAAAAAGAGAGAAAGAGAAAACATTAGTAATAATAAACTAAGCATCCACTTGGTGCCAGGGAGGAGACTTGGAAATAGGAAAAGCAAGACAAAACGAATACCAAAATGAAAACCAGAAAGAAATACAAAGACAAAAATGAAACCATCCTGCTCTCAGAGAGCTTCCGTTATCTCACAGGAGCCACTTATGAACAGATAGCAATCCCTCATTTCCTTCAAGATTCAAGTCAAGCACTACTACCTGGCGCCTTCCCTGGCCCGCTCAGCTTCTGGGGGTGTGCTCTCTCCCAAAAGTAACTTTTATTCATTTTGTATGTATTTGATGTAACCTTATATGTGTATACACTGTGTCTTTCCCTTTAGGATGTAACTTCATTGAGAGTTAGGACTGTTTCACTTTTGTCTTTGTATTCTGAATGTCTAGACAATGTCAGGCACATAGTAAGTGCTTAATAAAGGCTTGTTAATTGATTAATTATGGGCATATGCAAAATAAACACCAGGTAAATTGGGAGGAAGGTGCTAATAGCTGAGTTGATCAGAAAAGGCTTCTTGGAGAAGATGGTATTTGACAGTGAGTTTTGAAGGAAACAATGAGTTATCAGAAATGGAGCTGTGAGATGGGAGCAGATTCCAGGCGCAGATGAAAGCCAGAGCAAAGGCATCATTGAGAGGGACTTTGAAAGCCAAATTGAGTTTATATTTGCTCCTAGGCAGCTAAATGACTCAGCAGATAAAGAGTTGAGGCTGGAGTCAGGAAGATCACTGACCTCAGACCCTTAGTAGCTGCATGATCCTGGGCTAGTCACTGAACCTCTGTCTGCCTGTGAAATGGCGATAATAATAGCAGCTGCTTCACAAGGTTTTTGTGAAGATCAAATGAGATAATATTTGTAAAACACCAAGCGCAGTGCCAGGTACATAGTAGGTACTTAACAAGTGTTTGTTTCCCTTCCTAGAAACAATAGGGAGCCATTTGAGTTTATTGAGGAGATGCTTAGACATATCTATGCTTTAGTAAAATCACTTTGGCAGCAATGAGAAGGATGGGTTGATGAAGAGAGAGACAAGAACAATTCAGAAGCTACGGTAATAGTCCAGGCAAGAGATGGTAAGGACCTGAATTAGGTCAGTGGCTTTGATGATAGAGGGTAGGGGATGGATGAGAGCAGTATCGGGCAATTAGAAATGACAATATTTGGCAACTAATTGGAGTTGTGCAGTGAGAGGGTGAGGAGTCAAGGGTTACACCAAAGACGTGAACCTGAGCGTCTGCAAAGATGATGCCACCCTTGGCAGAAATGGGGAAATTTGGAAGAAGGTAACTTTGGCAGTAAAGATAACGAGTTCTGCTTTGGACATGTGGTCTTTGAGATGACCATGGTAGATCCAGTTGGAAATGTCCAATGGGTAGATAGATATGAGCAACTGGAACTCAGGAGACTTCAGTTAAGCTAGATACATAAAGCTGGGAATCATCTGAATAGGAATGATCATTCAATCCACGGGAGCTGAAGAAGTCGCCAACTGAGATATAAAGACCAGAGCTTTGCTTTTATGGGTACAACGAATGCCAGGGGCCAGAATGTGACCAATGCAGTTTCTTTTGTTCAGTTGTTTCAGTCTTGTATGAGTTTTCGTGACCCCATTTGGGGTTTTCTTGGCAAAGATACTAGAGTGGTTCACCATTTCCTTCTTCAGCTCATTTTACAGATGAGGAAACTGAGGCAGTCAGGGTTAAATGACTTGCCCAGGATCATACAGTGTCTGAGGCCAGATTTGAACTCAAGAAGATGAGTCTTCCTGATTCTAAGCCCGGTGCTCTATGCACTATGGCACCACCTAGCCACCCATGCAGATTCTACAACTTATAGTTTGGCAGAGTTGCCTGGTGCCCTAAAAAGTTAAGTGATTTGCTCAGGGTCACATGACAATGCTGTGTCAGCGGCAGGACTTAAACCCAGGTCTTCTTGATTCTAAGGCCAGCTAGCTCCCTATACAATACATGATGTTGCCAACGACAAGACAAATAATAACAATAATAACCAACATTTATACAGTGTTTTATAGTTTTTGCAAAGTGTTTTATATATCTCATGAAATTTGATCCTCACAACGGCCCGGTGAACTTAGGGTTATAGATATTCCTATCCCCATTTTACAGATGAGGAAACTGAGGCTCAGAGCACTTAAGTAACTTGCCCCAAATCATACAGCTAGTAAATTCTGTGGGCGGTTAGGTGGTGCCTTGGTGCACAGAGCACTGGGCCTGGAGTCAAGAAGACTCATCTTCATGAATTCAAATGTGGCCTCAGAAACTTAGTAGCTAACTGTGTGGCCCTGGGCAAGTCCCTTAACTTTGTTTGCCTCAGTTTCCACATCTATAAAATGAGCTAGAGAAGAAAATTGGCAAACTGCTCCAGTCTCTTTGCCAAGAAAACCCCAAATGGGGTCATAAAGAGTCAGAAGTGACTGAAACAAGCAAATAATAAAGTAAATGTCTGAGGTCAGGTTCTATTCACTATCCTATTCATTCTCTCTGATGAAAGGGAAAGATTTTGACTCAGAGAACCTCATTTGAAGTATATTAAATGTAATAAATTGCTATTACACTTTGTTCATCTTTTAAAAAACATTTTCCTAGTATTTACTAACTTATTAGTGTTGGCTAAATCCCCATCACCTACTCTAACGGCCACGAGTCCCTACATTCAGAGTTCTCACTTCCAAGACAAATGATAGCTATATTTTAGTGTTTTATATTTGCAGAGAACCTTATGTAGATTGTCTTGTTTGAGTATTTGAGTCTTACAACAACCCTGTGCAATAGGTATAATGACTATTATCCCTATTTTACAAATGAAGAAACTGAGGCTCAGAGAGTTAGGTGACTTGTCCACAGTCACCCAACTAGTAGTCTCAGAAGCAGATTTAGAACCCAGGCCTTCCCCACTCTAGGTCCAACACTTGACCTCCTCTGCCATGTTGGCTCTTATTGATAAATAACATTTAGATTTTTGCCTCCTCTCCCCAGACCGCCCAGGGCTTGCCAGCATTGAGAGGATAGAGAAATGTCAGGAGGGTTTCCTGCTGGCCTTCGAACATTATATCAATTACCGCAAACACCACGTTGCACACTTTTGGCCAAAGCTGCTGATGAAGGTGACGGACCTACGGATGATTGGCGCCTGCCACGCCAGCCGCTTCCTACACATGAAGGTGGAGTGCCCCACAGAACTCTTTCCCCCTCTGTTCTTGGAAGTGTTCGAGGATTAAGAAGGACTGGTTTGGTTCTCACAGTTCTGACAATGCTACTTATGGGGTGTCATTCCATTCCATTGCCTAGCTCGTTTGTGTTTCTCTGTATCTTGGGGGGAGGGAGGGATTTTTGTTCTCGATGTTGTTGGGAGGGGAAGGCTGTTGTTGGCTTTTTTTTTTTTGCATTGATATACACAGGTGAAAATGTCCCCTGAATGTGGGTACTTGTGACTATCACAGTCCGTCCGCCAGTCCGTGGGTGTGAATGCTTTGAAAATGGCCCAGTAGCAAGGTGGGGAGAAAGCTCAGGAGTTCACCAGCACTAAGTGATCACCAGCGTCCATCCTTCCCCAGTCGATGGTGATGTAAAGCTGCAAAACAATGAGTGACACACTCTGTTGTCTTGACTTAGTGAAGGACTTTATCGATTAGGTTCCATTTTGTAGGGCACAAAGAAATCTTGCAATGAATGTAGCATCCATGTACATGTCCCCTCCCCCCGAGCTGATCCATAGTATCTCAAATCCTCACTCTTGCTTATTTCCTTAAGACATCCATCCCCTTCCTGCCCAAATAGACCTAGGACTTGGAGTGGGACTTTAGGAGGCCTTTAGTCCAAAACCTTCCACTTTACAGATGAGGAAACTGAGTCCCAGAGGGGTTAAGTGATTTGTCCAGAGACACGTGCCCATTAAGTGAAAGAGCTGGGATTTAAAGCCCAAGGACCTCTAATTCAAAACCCAGCATTTTTTCCCACTGTACTATGAATTATACCTTGGATATATGACCATAAGGATATCTGTTCTCTATCAAGTCACATATATCTTTCAATGGATTGTTTCTGTGATCCTTGTTGAGTTCACGCTCAACGCAGGGAGTAAATCAAAGATGTAGATGGGTTTGTTGAACTAATGGAGTACATACATTATGGGGCGAGGAAGGGGTTGTGTGATCACAAGGAAATTGGAAATCAATGAGAAGGCCAAGGATTCTGCAATGCACAGAACAGTACTGGTTACAAGAGGCAACCACTGGGTTTGTTTTGAAGGAAACTTGAACATGAACTCAACAGATTTACCGAATGTGGTCACTTTTTAATGGCGGTGGTTATTCCACATTGTCACCGAAGTTATGTGCCCTGATTGCCCGAGTGAGAGGTGATCCTGGCTGAGCTGACAACCACTTTCCCTGCAGATTAAATCTTCTGATCAAAGGTAGCAATACAGTATCAATCTGAGTCTGGTTGAGGAAGTGTTCCAAGGAAAGAGTTGAGCTCGAGTTAGGCTCAAGGCAGAAGAAAAATGAGATATCCAACGGTCCCATTGTAAACTGGTACTTTATAGAAAGCCTCCCGTTACTCTGAGACGTGTATTAAAAAAATCACATAAAAAAAGACATGCATAAAATCAAAAGATCACAGATGTGGAGCTGGAAGAAAGCTCAGAGGTCACCTTTCATTTTACAGATGAAGAAATTAAGGCCCAGAGAAATTGATTGACTTAGCTAAATTCACACCACTGAACAATGTGTGAGGATTTGAACTCCTTGTCCTCTGTCTTTGCAGCCAGTAAGTACATCCTGCTGTCATTCCCCATTCCTAGCCCTTCTTTTTCCAGACTTAAAAAAATCTATTGCAAGAACCTGTTTTTGTTTTGAAATCAGACTTAGAACATTGAATTTTCACTGTATCATACAGCAGGAAAGCAGGATTTGAACCTAGCTGCAGATCCATGTCATTTCCACTATAGCACACTGCCCCTCTCACCAACACCAATAAATTTCCCCTGAATCCCTGTGTAGAGCTTGATCGTCATTTACTAGACAAAGATAAATTTTCACCTCTTTTCATCTTATTTTTTTTGTACTATTGTTCCAGAAGAGTATTCAGAATGGAGGTACCTGCAGGCTGGAAGCTGGGTGGCACAGTGGATAGAGCACTGGGCCAGGAGTCAGGAAGATCTGAGTTCAAATTTGGCCTTAGACACTGACTAGCTGTGTGACCCTGGGCAAGTCCTTTAACCCTGTTTGCCTCAGTTTCCTCATCTGGAGTAGGAAATGGCAAACCACTCCTGTATCTTTGCCAAGAAAACCCCAAATGAGATCATGAAGAGGTGACACAACTTTGCCCCCAAATCATTAAGAGAAATGGTAAATATTAGAAAATGTTACATGTGGAAAATCAGATAGTGAATTGCCACGTTGACTTCTCTTTTTCCGTAAGATGACAGAGTTTTACTAGATGGTCTTCCTTCCAGCTCTAAATCCTCTGATGCCATGATTTTACGATCCTATTCAACCATCTGCAAGCTTTTATTACGTGCCTACTATGTGTCAGGCATTAGGAATACCAAGCAAAAACAAAATATTCCTTCCCTCAAGGAGTTTATAATTCTAATCTTATGAATTTCAGCAAATCAAGCAAAAATGTGTTCATTGATTTGGAATTAATCTAAATTATGTAATAGGTAAATTACAGGTAGACTCATCTTTTTATTAACTCATCCAGTAAAATTTAGAAACTGCAAGGCAGTTTCAAATCAAACAGTAAGAGACTCCCCAAACCCCACTGATTAGTTGCATTCAAAGAGCAGCATGGGGTAGTAGAAGGTGTTCCAGATTGGACATTAGGAGCCTGGGCTTCTGGTCTCCACCTCTCGAAGCCTGTTTCTCATCTATAAAATGACATGGTCATACTAGATGGTCTCTGACAGTCCCTTCTAGCTCTCAGATTCTATGAAAATTCAGAAACCTCAGAAAATTCAGAAAAATTCAAAAATTCAGAAAATAATATTTTCTTCTTACAAACATCTTCCATTAGACTAGCACTAATTTTATAAGCAGAGAATTGATTCACATTCCTCTTAACTAAGAACTAATTACAAGTGAAGTAGGGAGAAAGTAAGGGGCAGCTAGGTGGTTCAGTGGATAGAGCACTGGCCCTGAAGTCAGGAGGACCTGAGTTCAAATCCAGCCTCACACCAAACACTTGACACTTACTAACTGTGTGACCATGGGCAAGTCACTTAACCCCAATTGCCTAAAAAAAAAAAAGAAATAGGGAGAAAAAGACAAGATATTCATCCTGAGAGTGGGGGATGAAAGGTACCAAATAACCAGAGAGAAATAAGTAATAGAAGGTTTGGAAAGGGAAAATAATTCAGAATATGCCAACCAAGCAATGAGTTGCAAGGGCATGGTTCCTTTAGGAGTGATGCCTGGTGGAAATTCACTAACTACACAGAGGAATCAAAACTCTAACAAAAGCCTTGGTGCACTTTTAAGCTATTAAAGCTTAATCAGGTACTGAATTGTTTTAAGCTATTATAGCTGCCCTAAGACATTTGGGACAATCTATATAGTCCCTACTCTGTTATCTACTCCTGGATTGTTGGAATTTATCTTCTCCATTCAAATTTCACCAAGTCAGCATCCTTAAGTAGTTGCTTAGCCGAGATCTCAACTCCCTCTTTGCAATAGAAACATATGGCCATCTGCTCTGCTTCTGGAAAGGATCGAAAGAAGACAGAACTTACACCAATCCAAGAAAGAGCAGGCTATTCAAGGCATGGAGTGAATTGTGGGGGAAGGGCAGGGTGGGGAAACTGGATGGGTTCCCAGCTCTTCTTGGATTGGTTACTCCCAATATAGCATTGTTATTTTCCAAGTGAATTCTAAGTGAAAAAGCAAACACACCTCTATTTGCTATGTGACACCGGATAAGTCACTTAACCTCTCTAGGCCTGTTTCTTTGTCTATAAAATGAGGGGGCTGGACTCAGTAACCTCTAAAGCCACTTCTAGGTCTAATGTTATGCTATGATCCTTTGTGTAATGGAAAAGTCGTGTCTAAAGCTTAACAAAAAGTCCCTCTGGGATTACCCATGCCTCCATTGATGCGAACCCCCACAGTTGGTCCCATGCAAAGCGTGCTTAGGCTGCATCAACATAGCACAGAGGAAGAGATTACTTGACAGTTATCCTGCTATTCTGATTAATGTAACAGCCAGACTGATTTTGGCCTGAAACCTTAAATCTAAATTGGTCTGGGTGACTATTTACGCTGGTTAAATCATTTGGAAAGGGGTGAGCTTTGGAAGTCCTGTTCACAATGTATCAACCTCAGTCTTTGTATATCACACTCAACTACGCAAGCCATCTCAGAACTCCATCCCATGAAAGCTAATTGTGAGGGGGTGCCTTGGATTTTTTTTCCCTTATGCCAGGACTTTAGATTCAAGTATATCTCTGGATGAACAGAATTTTCCTCTTGCCTTTGAGGATGACATTCTAATGAATCTGAAGATTTCTGTGGGACCAGATTTCTCACTTATAAACCCCTTAACTATGGGGAATGTTTGGTGTGTGTGATCTCTATTTCCGCTCATCAGCTTAGCAGTATTTCCAAGCCCACTGCAAATGTCGATCTCTTCGTTTCCTTCATGGTTCTACCAAAAACACCGTGTGCCGCAGCCGAGCTTTTTGTGGTCAAGTGAGCTTTGCTCCTTAGCAACGTGCTTCAAATTTTAACTCCCCGGTCCTGCGATGTACAGACATCTGGGTCTGGAGCAATGCCTATGCAGTTTTCCATGTGCTAATTATATGGTAGGTAACACTCTGCCAAGCTCTAGGATTTTTAGAAACCCAACTTTGCTCCAACCACGCTAACCGTGAGCTTTTCTTGTGACTTGGGTGTATAAGCATCAACAATCTTCCTGTCCCCTCCTCCCTACCCCATTCCCAAATCCTGCCTTTTTGGAACTGCTGGTCACTCTCAAAATGTGTCATTGTTAGTGATGTATTTTTATTCTATGGAACGCTAATCTGTTTGTGTCATACTGACCTTAAGTTGCATGAATCATAAATTTGAAAATCAATCTTACGGTTTTGAAATGTAGCCAGCATTTGTAAGGCTAAACCTTTTTCATTAACTGAATTTCAATGAGCAACCAAGGAATATTTACCCTTCAAAAGGAGAGCAAAGGCAAACATTTGAAATTATGTCACCCTTTTCAATGACTAAGTCCATCAGGTCCTCAAATAAGCTCTTAATTTTTCCTGTTATTTGAATAATATGGAAATATTAATGTAGTGTTTCTTTTGATAGCAAGATAATATGATCGGTATTTAAATTTTATAGAAAATGAATTTTA